ACTGGGAGGAGGTGGGATAGTGTGGGGTGGTGGTTGGTAAAAGAGGGGTGTCCATGCCCTGCCGGTGAATTGCGGCTTGTGCCAGTGTGCAATGTGCGTGTGCAAATAAAAATGCCCTGAGCCCGCAGCGTCGCGCGTGCCACCCAGGCCCAGCCCGGCGCCAGCCTGAGCCCCAGCAGCCACTAACCGCCGAGCACCGCTGCCCACCCATCCCCAGAGGCTGACCCCGCCGGCACGCGTCTCCCGCTGCGAGCGCCCCGCGCCGGCTCCCCGCACCTGCAGCGTGGGGGCCCCGTAAAGCAGCAGCTCGGGGTGGCGCGTCACCAAATCTGCCAGCTCAGCTTTCGATGACAACGCCAGCTCCCGCAGCAGCAGCTCGCACGTCGCCTCCACCTGCGCGCTCGCCGCCGTGAGCAGCAGCGGGAAGCGCAGCAGCAGCGCGCTCGCCTGTGGGGGCGCCGGCGGCAGGGGCGTGGCGCGCGGGCGGGGGCGACAAGGGGAGGAGGTGTTGGGCCACGGCAGCGAAACCGGCGGGTCGCAGGCGCCCTGGCAGCCCGCCGGCGGTGTGGAACTGCAGGGGCGCGGCGCTGCACCCAGCCGCCACTCGCCGCGGCGGCGATCCCCAGCCGTGCCGGCCGCCCCACCGTCCTTCGAGCGCTCCCACCAACGCCCCTCAGCCCCCGCTCACACGTGCCAACAGACCATCCCCCGCTTGCGCGCTGGCACACTCACACACACACACACACACACACACACACACACACACACACGCGCGCGCGCACCTTGGCGGGTGCCAGCCCCGTCGCCTTGCAGAGCGCGGCGTGCTTCGCCTCCAGCACGCTGATCTGGAACCCCACTAGCGACGGCTGCTTGGCGACCAGCATGAGCGCCACCTGGTAGTCCGCGCCACCCAGCAGCCGCTGCAGCGCGGCGAGCTTGGCGCGCAGCGTGTCGGGCCCGAAGAGCAGCAGCGTCGGCTGGCGGAGGACGAGGTCCAAAACCTGTGTGTGT